ACAAATACAAAGGAGTCATTAGTTCATTCAAACACCACAGTAATGTACGTTGTGTCCCGACTTCGTGTGCCAATGCACTTTTTAGCAGCATTTACCATTAAAATGGCCTCGGCTAGCAAGCTGTTCGCATCCAAGTAGCACTTCTGACAAAACCACACGTAACCGTTTTTACTAAACCATTTGAAAGCCTCAGGAGTTAGATTAGTGAAAACTTCGTGATACCTGCCTTTGCACTCGTCGCACCGCATGCCGCTTTCAACGGGGAATCGACAGCCCGGGCGTCGGCAATTGATTTGGTTGCACTGTCCAGCTATCAAACGGAGGTTCTCAAAAAGAAACCAGATACAATAATACCCAAAGACAAAAGTAATTTATGACCAAACAGTGGAAAACTAAATCGTTAGAAACAAAAGTGCTAACAAATACAATAGAAACAAAGTACTCAAAAATACCGACGATAAACTACTTTGTAATCGGAAACGATACTATATGCGGATACTTTAAGTGAAATAAATTCAATGAAAGTGTAAACGGTGGTCTTGTTACGTAATAAACGATCAAAACAATAGAATTTACTCAGTGAGGAAAAATACCACTATTCTTTCTAAACAGTGCGCGTAGATCACATAAAGATAATTTGTATATTTATCATTTCTTAAATCGTTTATAGATGGAGGTAACCAATGAGCGTAAACTGAATTAACGTAGTTTTGAGATTGGGTACGATATAACAATATCCAGGTACAATTTACTGGGATTTATGCGCAAACAAAAGCGAGCGAATGAGGTTTTTCAATTCCTTTCAAATCCAATCAATAAAGAGTTCAACTCAAAACAATCTTTTGTGTATATTGTTATGTACCAAACAAACTGTCAATCATATTAACATAAAATTCGTTTATTTGCCTTTATACTCACGGACACAAATTCTAAAATATCTAAATCATGTTGGATTATTGCGCTTTAAATATAACGTAATTGCAGTTCATTACGTCACTATGATTTTATTCGGATGTAAAAGATGATTATTCAAGCTTAAATATCTTGAAATGTAAGACTTACGAGAATTTAACATTCTCGATATAGAAAAAGGGGGTCAGTAACAGAAAGAAGTATATTTCTGTGTGAGTACAAGACATAAACACGCGTTTCGAGTTTAAGGTTGGATAAGTCTAGACAAAGTAATCATACATTGAGAATAACTTGATGACTAGACATTTTAATCCAGGTAAACATGAAATTGAACAGATTCCCTGAAGATCCAAACGAATTTTTGTAAATAGCAATGAATGGAATTTAATGTGGTAGACTTGAAGAAAGTTGTTTAAACTGATAGTACTGCATAGTTTAGTAAAGTCTACCTTAGATGACTCGACAGAATATGAGAAAGATTGACTTACAGGCTATTTATTGTAAATAAAAATTTAAAACTCATAGAAACCCACGATTTGTATAACTAGTATGGTCAACACGAATAAAAGTTGGCAATCCCAATGAATGAAAAGCATTCTGCACTACTTTCGATTTGTGGGTTGTGATATATGGTGGCAAAAAGAATAATTCCCATAACCTTTTAAAATTCAGCTAATTAAATGCACATTATATCTTCAGTTGACATACCACATTGTTCCATAAGGTGAGTTGAAGTAGATTGAGGTTTCAACACTAAAGAGTACCATAGAATTAAATAACGATAACCGAAACAACAAACCTAATTAGAATATACATGAAAATGTTTAAAAACGTTGAATTTGATTTGACCATTCTCAAGACACAGGAATTCGACTAATAGTGAATCCAAGTGAATAAATCACTGGTTATATAAGACAAATTTAACCATAGATAGCTTGTTATTAGGAAAATCCAAGTGGCACAACTTCCCATGTAAATAAGAAGGGATAAATATCTAGACATTCCATACAAATTTCAAACTGACGAAAATAAATAGGCCATTAGTACGAGTCACAATCAGAAGCAAGATGTGAGTTGTCTCGAAAGTGAGTTAAATTGATGTTGACATAGGTTGAAAATCGAAAAACAATCCTGCTTTCCTACATAAGCTATCATACAATAAACCCATTTGAGATCTTTGGCCTGGATTTTATACATCGTGACAACATATCCACGTTTATTAATGAAGCCCATTTTTAAATTCGTATTACGCCTCAGTAATTATTGATTCATTACAAATGGAAAGAAGTAGTACTCACGAATAGTCCTAGTGAGAAGTCTACTCAAAGAGCAATGACCCTATTTAGTCGTGAAGTGATACACAACGTATCAGTAGCTCATGATGAAACCCATTTCACAGGAATAATTTCAACAGTTGCCTTAACGATACTCGATACAGACAACTTCCTATGGCTCAACAACATCCTCAGTTTAGCAGGAAATCTCGTTTGAACCCTAAAGAGTTCCATTACATCAATGAATTTGAGTATATCTGTCAAACTAGAAAAATAGATCAATGGCTTCTTACTCCAATATGATAATGCAGGATATTCATCAGTTCATGGAAGTCTAGTCAAACTCGTCAAATCTCGTGTAATTTTAAACCATTAAGTGAATAGATCACTATCAAAAGTACAGTCTACCGAGGAAATGAATATCGGCCATAATTCAGAGAATCAGAAGTTGCATAATAAGGATTGCTGACACAATTCATGGCAGACGAAATAAAGAAGTGAAGGCTAATGCAGTAGACGCAACCGAAGTGGTTTTTATTATTAAAATAGATCGCAACACAAAATACACACTTAACTGTGTAGTAACCGTATTAATCACTCACCAATGGTAATTAACAAGACAAAAAGAAATGAAGAGAGGATAGTCATTATAAAGATGAGAAACTAACTAAATACAGAAAATACTACTTAGACAGTGCAAATCAAAATGGAGAAACAAAATTATGCCGTCACTTGAAGCACAAAAATCCGACGGACATACTGAGTGACTAGATTGGTTTCGAGCAACATGATAATGTTTCCAACTTTAGATGAAGGCTGTCTCAAGAATCTCGGTTAGGAAATCAACAAATGGGCACAAATCAGACTCATAGATAACCACATCATCAAATGACACCACAGTTTGATTCCCATTTTCTATTTCCAACATAGTTGTGTCCAGGTACGTGGAAGTTAGGCATGAGCAGCACATGTCTCTCGCTGAATGAGTGTTCACACACCTATCAACCGTCTTCTATCACTCCACGTCCACTCTCCATTCACAACATCAACAAGCATGAAGTCACGAAGATCCCAATGAAAAACCAATTTCGCAGAATCTGAACACAGGAACAACATGTCAATCAAAACCAAACTATCGTATTACCAACCGCACAGTAGAAAGTAAACTCAACATGTGAGACGCTATATCAGTGGATTATTGCAGGCAAATCAATTGTATGGTTGATGAACTTTCAAATCAGTTTGCTTATCTCTCACTCAAAACACTCTATTGTTCAGTCTAAGTGACCATCATGCTTTGTCTATTCGACTGTGTTATATGAACGATTGTCTAATACAGAAGTGAATCATTCACATGTCCCAACACAGACACTTTTGAACAAGGAGTTCTGTTGCTTAGAGTTAAAGTTTTCATGGACACCTCTGCCATCTGGTTCGTGAAGACAACACCCACACTGATATCGACAGTTGGTGCTCGGAAACTCAAACTCAAAAGACCAATAAAACACAAGAGTGTTTTCTGACTACTTTTTTCCAGTGTGTTGGAATTATAAACTACATATTATTACAACATTGAATTATTCTATTCTCCATAGTTTTCAAGTGGAGTAATTATCACTCCTCAAAAAATTATTTTCATCTTAACACTCTTCACTAGCCACTGGACTTTTACATAACTTTCTCTTAATATTTCATATTTATAAACAACCTATGACTCAATATCACTCTAATATTAAATTTCCATCAAAATTAATTGGATTACAGAGTATTATATTTTATATTTAAAACTTTTGATTATTGGAGTGGAATAAAGAATATTCAGAGAAGAGAGTTTTAATTTCGACGATTAAATATACTCAATGAAGTATTCGAATTTCTCCCCATATCACTAAGAGCTTGTGAACGTGGATTCGAAAGTAGGAGGGAAGCACCGTATACGTTCAATTGAGAAGTCGTTCAGAAGTGCACTAATGTTAAAAACCCATTAGTACATAGAACCAAAGGGATTTAGAAAACAGGCATAAATCTAAGTACGAAAGCATTTTTAGAATCAATAAATGTATCAAGTCTCACAAGTTTAACCAGCAAATGTTATTGATTGGAGAAGACGTTGATCCCAACAATCAAGTTGCGGATTCCAGATTATTTATGTGATAAGTAAACAAACTGGTGAAAGGGATATTTCAGAAATACTCTCAGTAAAGTACAGTTTAGGATGAATTCTCGTCGGAATACCTGCAGTACGTATCATGAACTTGAAGAATTTTGATTACTTTACACGAAAATCACAGTTTATAGTTCAGTTTTCACCAAACGACCTAAGTTACCTGCTTTCAACTAATAAGAAAATGAGCCAAACACATAAACAGTCTGTTGACTGTGCTTTTGATATCCTTGCCAATTAATTACGAATGTGTATAAAAATAAAATTATCAAGTACGACGTCACTAATGGTCAGTTGTGATTTGTAGTGAATGGCATTAGTATGGAAGCACTAGGATTTCACTAGAATTCGGTAGTTTTTTCTAGAGAGTTCTGGTAAATAGGGTGTAATGTGTGTTGACACAGAGCAAACATATATGGAAGTAGACTAGACAGGGCGAGAGAAATCGAGAACTTTCGAGAAAATGTCCTTCAATCACCAATCAGATTTGGACTTAATTATATTGTAGAAATATTAGCGTTCTGATTGGTTGTTACCTATCTGGAGGTCATTGAATAATTTCTCTCACCCACCACTATATAATCAAGCTAAACAGTCGAGAATTCAATCCGTACTGTTGTTCTAATTCTAAATCTGTTATTGTGTTGAGTATGTCTGGTGGGCAGCAACGTCACGCAGTTAGTATTCCTGTGAATCGTGAGCAACGGTCATTTGAGAGGCAGAGACGTGACCTGTTAACTGGCCTGGAACACGGTGGTGGTACTCATCGTGGCAACCTAATCGCACCGTACACGGAAGACTGGCCGAGTACTGTGGACAGCTGGATCAACTCCTCGTGGAGGAGATGGGATGAAGACATGCGACGTTTGAGACGTGGAATGTTCGCACTATTAGTGAGTTTGGTTATTCAATATTCAGTTGACCATTAGTGCATATGATTTCCTGAGATAATGTTTATCATTTGTATATATTAGGAATGCAATAATGCATTGTGTGAGCAGATTTTGTATTAAATTCGAGAGGAGATTTGATGAGCTTGGTATGTACTTTGAATTTCAGCCGGTGGACAATTTCACCCACGGGATTTTGGAAAATCCATTCGCTTTAATGCACCAAATGGATCGTCATATCCAGGATATCCGAGAGAGAATGGGTTCAATGGATGTGCCGTCGACCGGTTCAGTGAGTGACTTTTTAAAGGACGCCTACGAAATAGGTGAGGATGGCAAGGTGAGTCCGTGCTGACGAGCAGGTAGGTTGTGTTTAGTGGTTTGTGCAGTTGGTTTGAACATAGCCGTTGATTGACGAGTGTAATTATGGTTGTTGTTTATTGCGTAGGTACATTTCAAGGTACGATTCGATGCACAAGGTTTCGCTCCCCAGGACATCAATGTGACGTCGAGTGAGAACCGTGTGACGGTACACGCGAAGAAGGAGACGACGACCGATGGTGGGAAGTGTAGTCGGGAGTTCTGTCGTATGGTGCAGCTGCCGAAGAGTATTGATGATAGTCAACTGAAATGTCGCATGACCGATGTAAGTTGTCGAGTTGACGACTGTGGTTGCTGGTGGTTTTGTGTGTGTTGTATTTGTAGTTGTTTGCATTTCCAATCATTTTAGAATAGTTGGAAGTTTCGTTCCATCTTGTTCTGTGTGTTTGTTTGTCTGTCCGTTTCAGGATGGTGTTTTGATGTTGGAGGCTCCAGTGAAGGTTGATCAGAATCAGTCGTTGACACTGAACGAGTCTGGTCAGGTTGGTGTTCGACCGAAATCGGACAATCAGATTAAGGCAGTTCCTGCGTCGCAAGCACTTGTTGCGAAAGGTGAGAGGACTTGTGATTGACTTAGATGTAACATGTGCGTGTTGATAATGATCTGGTGGGTGTGTTACTCTTGTTTTCTTGTGTTGCATTTTCATAACATTTGTATTTTTTTCCTATCCATTCCAGGTGTTCATGGTCTGTCGTATGTGGATGATGGTTCAGGTGGCAAGCGATTGCATGTTGAGGTTCCAGTGGACCCAGTGTACAAGCCTGAAGACTTGTGTGTGAATGTTGATTCGAATCGTGTTGTGGTTAGTGGACGTCATCATAAGCAGAAGAGTGGTCAATATGGAAAGTCGAGTTCATTTGCAGAGTTCAGTCAGTCGTATGCGATTCCAGAGACAGTTGATCCGCTATCTGTTTCTGCTCAGGTAGTTGGTAATACATTGGTATTGGAGGCACCGTTGGAGAAGCAGCATGCAATTACTCACTAGAAGAGAATATGTTTTACTAAACTATTCGTTGCTTAATGTTAAAATATTGATGTGATTTTTCTGAATAAATATTTCTAAATTGCATTCGACTCCATGTTATTTATTTCGTGATCAGCGTATTCAGTCGACTTATTGAACGTTTACTTTCTGCTGTGCGGTTGGTAATACGATAGTTTGGTTTTGATTGACATGTTGTTCCTGTGTTCAGATTCTGCGAAATTGGTTTTTCATTGGGATCTTCGTGACTTCATGCTTGTTGATGTTGTGAATGGAGAGTGGACGTGGAGTGATAGAAGACGGTTGATAGGTGTGTGAACACTCATTCAGCGAGAGACATGTGCTGCTCATGCCTAACTTCCACGTACCTGGACACAACTATGTTGGAAATAGAAAATGGGAATCAAACTGTGGTGTCATTTGATGATGTGGTTATCTATGAGTCTGATTTGTGCCCATTTGTTGATTTCCTAACCGAGATTCTTGAGACAGCCTTCATCTAAAGTTGGAAACATTATCATGTTGCTCGAAACCAATCTAGTCACTCAGTATGTCCGTCGGATTTTTGTGCTTCAAGTGACGGCATAATTTTGTTTCTCCATTTTGATTTGCACTGTCTAAGTAGTATTTTCTGTATTTAGTTAGTTTCTCATCTTTATAATGACTATCCTCTCTTCATTTCTTTTTGTCTTGTTAATTACCATTGGTGAGTGATTAATACGGTTACTACACAGTTAAGTGTGTATTTTGTGTTGCGATCTATTTTAATAATAAAAACCACTTCGGTTGCGTCCACTGCATTAGCCTTCACTTCTTTATTTCGTCTGCCATGAATTGTGTCAGCAATCCTTATTATGCAACTTCTGATTCTCTGAATTATGGCCGATATTCATTTCCTCGGTAGACTGTACTTTTGATAGTGATCTATTCACTTAATGGTTTAAAATTACACGAGATTTGACGAGTTTGACTAGACTTCCATGAACTGATGAATATCCTGCATTATCATATTGGAGTAAGAAGCCATTGATCTATTTTTCTAGTTTGACAGATATACTCAAATTCATTGATGTAATGGAACTCTTTAGGGTTCAAACGAGATTTCCTGCTAAACTGAGGATGTTGTTGAGCCATAGGAAGTTGTCTGTATCGAGTATCGTTAAGGCAACTGTTGAAATTATTCCTGTGAAATGGGTTTCATCATGAGCTACTGATACGTTGTGTATCACTTCACGACTAAATAGGGTCATTGCTCTTTGAGTAGACTTCTCACTAGGACTATTCGTAAGTACTACTTCTTTCCATTTGTAATGAATCAATAATTACTGAGGCGTAATACGAATTTAAAAATGGGCTTCATTAATAAACGTGGATATGTTGTCACGATGTATAAAATCCGGGCCAAAGATCTCAAATGGGTTTATTGTATGATAGCTTATGTAGGAAAGCAGGATTGTTTTTCGATTTTCAACCTATGTCAACATCAATTTAACTCACCTTCGAGACAACTCACATCTTGCTTCTGATTGTGACTCGTACTAATGGCCTATTTATTTTCGTCAGTTTGAAATTTGTATGGAATGTCTAGATATTTATCCCTTCTTATTTACATGGGAAGTTGTGCCACTTGGATTTTCCTAATAACAAGCTATCTATGGTTAAATTTGTCTTATATAACCAGTGATTTATTCACTTGGATTCACTATTAGTCGAATTCCTGTGTCTTGAGAATGGTCAAATCAAATTCAACGTTTTTAAACATTTTCATGTATATTCTAATTAGGTTTGTTGTTTCGGTTATCGTTATTTAATTCTATGGTACTCTTTAGTGTTGAAACCTCAATCTACTTCAACTCACCTTATGGAACAATGTGGTATGTCAACTGAAGATATAATGTGCATTTAATTAGCTGAATTTTAAAAGGTTATGGGAATTATTCTTTTTGCCACCATATATCACAACCCACAAATCGAAAGTAGTGCAGAATGCTTTTCATTCATTGGGATTGCCAACTTTTATTCGTGTTGACCATACTAGTTATACAAATCGTGGGTTTCTATGAGTTTTAAATTTTTATTTACAATAAATAGCCTGTAAGTCAATCTTTCTCATATTCTGTCGAGTCATCTAAGGTAGACTTTACTAAACTATGCAGTACTATCAGTTTAAACAACTTTCTTCAAGTCTACCACATTAAATTCCATTCATTGCTATTTACAAAAATTCGTTTGGATCTTCAGGGAATCTGTTCAATTTCATGTTTACCTGGATTAAAATGTCTAGTCATCAAGTTATTCTCAATGTATGATTACTTTGTCTAGACTTATCCAACCTTAAACTCGAAACGCGTGTTTATGTCTTGTACTCACACAGAAATATACTTCTTTCTGTTACTGACCCCCTTTTTCTATATCGAGAATGTTAAATTCTCGTAAGTCTTACATTTCAAGATATTTAAGCTTGAATAATCATCTTTTACATCCGAATAAAATCATAGTGACGTAATGAACTGCAATTACGTTATATTTAAAGCGCAATAATCCAACATTATTTAGATATTTTAGAATTTGTGTCCGTGAGTATAAAGGCAAATAAACGAATTTTATGTTAATATGATTGACAGTTTGTTTGGTACATAACAATATACATAAAAGATTGTTTTGAGTTGAACTCTTTATTGATTGGATTTGAAAGGAATTGAAAAACCTCATTCGCTCGCTTTTGTTTGCGCATAAATCCCAGTAAATTGTACCTGGATATTGTTATATCGTACCCAATCTCAAAACTACGTTAATTCAGTTTACGCTCATTGGTTACCTCCATCTATAAACGATTTAAGAAATGATAAATATACAAATTATCTTTATGTGATCTACGCGCACTGTTTAGAAAGAATAGTGGTATTTTTCCTCACTGAGTAAATTCTATTGTTTTGATCGTTTATTACGTAACAAGACCACCGTTTACACTTTCATTGAATTTATTTCACTTAAAGTATCCGCATATAGTATCGTTTCCGATTACAAAGTAGTTTATCGTCGGTATTTTTGAGTACTTTGTTTCTATTGTATTTGTTAGCACTTTTGTTTCTAACGATTTAGTTTTCCACTGTTTGGTCATAAATTACTTTTGTCTTTGGGTATTATTGTATCTGGTTTCTTTTTGAGAACCTCCGTTTGATAGCTGGACAGTGCAACCAAATCAATTGCCGACGCCCGGGCTGTCGATTCCCCGTTGAAAGCGGCATGCGGTGCGACGAGTGCAAAGGCAGGTATCACGAAGTTTGCACTAATCTAACTCCTGAGGCTTTCAAATGGTTTAGTAAAAACAGTTACGTGTGGTTTTGTCAGAAGTGCTACTCGGATGCGAACAGCTTGCTAGCCGAGGCCATTTTAATGGTAAATGCTGCTAAAAAGTGCATTGGCACACGAGGTCGGGACACAACGTACATTACTCACTCAGTCAACACACAAATCGATGTGAAGCCACCTCAAGTGAGCTCGGTGACAGCTTATTCACATCGGTCAAAGGAGGAAAGACCGACTTGAAACGAGGTTTTCTGTCTGCCGTCCTTTAAATGGTGACTGGTAGGAAACGCCTAGGAACTGCGATCGCAAGGATCGATCGGTTTCTAGCGGGAAACACAACCTGACTGTCCAAGTCGTCGATAACCTTCCGGAATCCCACAGTGCTTTTGACGCGACTGTGGTTGCTACTCGAACGAAAATTGATGAATGGGTACAGGTTGAGAAGAAGAAACTATATGACGCTATCAAAGAAAATGCACTAATCCCGCCCAAATAAAATTATCCGAAAAATTAAAAACTGATCACAGTCGCAGATCAGTTATCTTTTATAGAATCAAGGGGAGTCAATACTCAGAACCTTGAACTCGTTTTGAGCATATCATTGTTCCAAAAACTCACCTACTGAGTCAGCTTAATCCTCAGGATGTCTACTTAGTCACCTTGCTAAATGTGTATAGATTAGGTAACCAAGTGGACTTGAAACAAAATCAAATTAGGCTTCCTAAAGTAGTGTTCAAATCTACTAATGAACGGTGCTAATATTACAGAATGGATATAAATCAAACGGGTCAGGAGATTTGTCTGTAAGGACTTGTTGCTCTCAGACCGTATTAAACGACTAGAAGCTGAGAAAGAACTAAAACTTATGTCAGATACTGGCGAAAATGATCTAAATTTTCGGTTTGTGAGGCTTCGATATATAATGATGTCGAAGCCACTGTGTGTGCAGCACGAAGCGATTTAAATAGGTTTCGTTCAGTTACACAAATGCCCGATGCTTGCTCAGTAAACGGTCGGAACTAAGTGTACAGATTGACTCTATCAAGTCAGATATAATCGCGATCACAGAAACATGGTTGACTCAGCCTATAGATAGTATGGAGTTTGAATTTTAAGGTTTTAAGTTGGTAAGAGCTGACAGAATCCAGAAGCGTAAAGGAGGTGAAGTATCCCATTTGCCATTATCGACAGTGTATCCCATGAGAGTGGGACGTGTTAATTTGTTAGTCACAGCTTGAAATGCAAGAGACAAGAGCTGCTGATTGGTCTGATCTACCACAGTCCATGCTGTGAGTTAAATGAGGTCTTACTAGACAGTCTCAGCACATGGTCACAAAGTGGTCGATGTCTAACCCTAGGAGACTCTAATGCACTCATCGTAGACTGGAAAACTCTGAGAACAGAATTGTCAGAAGATTCTTTGAGCAGGAACTAGGTAATGCAGTTGTCACATGTGCCCTAGTGTAACATGTGAAAGAGGCGACTAGGTACGATCTGGACTCCGAATCCTCCTTACTAGATCTTGTATTGAGCCATTATGAGGAATCGATTACATGCCATCCCTATGTAAAATTGATCATGCAGTTCTGGACTTTGAGCAGACGTCAGCTCAACCCAGATATAACGTCTGGAAAGAAAATATACAAGACATTATACACTCAGCATCGTCAGTAGACTGGAAAATAGAGCCAGAGTCCTCAATTGAAACAGCTTGGGATATACTTCGAAATCTATACTTAGAAGTTACTGCACCCCATATCCCTGGGACTACAGCAAGGTATTCGAGAAAATCTCCACCACGGCTCAGTAGGGAGGTTCACACAATTCTCCGTTAGAGGAGGATAATGTAGGAAAGATTTGGATTACTGGGTACTGATGAGACAAAATTTCAATATCGGGAACCTCGGAATTCGTGTGCCTAGAAGATTGTACGAAGAAAAAATTGTTAAGGAATCTTTAGAATGCCCCAAACTCTTGTATTCGTATATTAATTAAAGGACAAAAAAGGAGAGGAAATATTCCATCACGATGGGGAGACAGTAGTGCATTGTCATTAGTAAAGGACGATTATGGTAAACCTCAACTATTCTCAAACTTCCGCAGAAACACCCTTCCCGTTAGTCCATACAAATCCCCACACACACTGGACAAAATGACCACTAAAGAACTCGGTGTCTTTGATCTGCTAAATAAGCTTGATATAAGCAAATCCACGGGACCCGTTGAACTGCATCCTTGGTTACTGAAGGAATTATCTAACTTTGTTGCGAACCCCTTAAGTATATAGGTATCATTACCAAGGTTTGATTTGATAATTTCGAATAAATTGAGCATTGGGTTGATTGTTATAAATAAATAATATATTTGTAATATCCTAATGAGTAGAAAATTAGATTTTCTGACGTTTCGTAACTTAATGTAAGCCACTTCTTCTGAGAATAAATAACCAAATTAAAATTAATCCAAGTTTAAATAGTACAACGGAACATATGTTTTAATCTATCCGTAACCCAGGGTAGATTACCAAAAGACTAGAAGAACGCCATAGTAAGTCCTATCTTCAAAACAGGTACGAAACATATACCTGAGAACTACTAGCCCGTTAGCTTAACTAGCGTGGTTGATAAAATTTTAGAAAAGATTACTCTGAGGAAGCTGTTTAAGTATCTCTATGAAAACAGGATCATTTCGGAAAAGCAGCATGGTTTTAGAATACGTTATTCATGTCTCACTAACTTATTAGTGACTTGTGAAAGCTGATGTGCTCTTAAAAACCAAAAGTTACGTATAGAAGTAGCTTACATTAACTTCAGAAAGCGTTTGATAAAGTTCCTCGCAACCGGCTGTTATATAAGTTAAGAAATGTTGGGATTGAAGGCATTCTATTAATACGAATAAAAGACTTGCTATTTGGGCGCCAACAAAGAGTATGAGTGAACTGCAAGTTTCCTAGTTGGTAAACTGTGCTTAGGGGAGTGCTTCAGGGTACAGTTTTGGGGCCAGTGTTATTCCTCTTATCTGTAAATAACCTTTGTCGTCTCCTATCGTCATCGGTCTTGCTATGTGCTGATGATATCAAGATATGGAGAGCGATAAGAAGTAAAGGTGATAGCTTAGAACTTCAAAATGACCTGGAGAAATTATATGAATGGTCTCAAACTTGACAGTTGCTGATAAATACTTTCATGTGTATTGTGATGCATATTGGTCATCAAGGTACAGATATATACAAGATGAATAAAACTGAGATACCTGTTGTCCGGACACACAATGACTTAGGAGTCATTGTTAGCCAAAACTTAAAAACTAATGGACACTGCCGTCAAATAGACGCCAAAGTTGTTAGAATCCCATGGTCAGTACGTAGGGCCTTTAGTCACGTCGACGCTAAAACGTTTTTTGAATTTGTAGAGTATTTGTGTGTCCTAAACTTAAGTACTGAATACAAGTGGCTAGCTTTTGAAAAAAGTTCAGAGAACAGCAACTAAGCTGATTCCCGGAATAGTGAAGCTCCCGTATGATGCTCGACTGGCTAAACTGAACCTATTCCCGTTATCATATCGAAGAACTAGAGGTGATCTGATTACAGTTTTCAAATTACTTAGTGATAAATTTGCACCTGATATGCGCTGATTTTTTTTTGTCTTCCGAAACAGAGAATTTAAGAGGACACTCCAAAAAAGTTCACGAGCCCAGAACAAATCACTCGTCAACTGACAATGGACTTTCCCATCGAATCATCAACTAGTGGCATTCATTACCTCAACACGTGATTGAAGCTCCATCTGTCGACTCTTTCAAAAGAAAGTTGGACCAACTGAGAGATCATCATTGCCAGGAAGAACACAGGCCAACAAGCCTCCTGTTCTTTTCAAACTGAAACTTAAAAAACCTTACGTCAACACTCGGTTACCTGGACTTAAAATTTACAAATAAATTCCGTCCATAATTTGTCATTTAAATATACAAATATCTTTTTAATGTCACTATATTGAAAACTATGAAATTACAGTACACGAATTATTTCGTTACTAGTCGACTAAAATTCTGGTAATTTAACACCCATAACTTAGAAACGAAATGACCGGAATCAGTTGGTTTGAAACCAGCTTCAGCTGCTTATGGCTTACATCAAACGACAATTCCACTAATATAAAAGTACTACAACACAGAACAATAATTAATGGGATCAAAATGTAGTCAGATTCGCATATTAGTTACAAAGAAATGTGGCCTTGGATTGTATGCAAAATGTTTAGCATCGTTGTCCACTAATTAGGTAAAACAACAAATCAGTTCGACCTTGAGTTTCATAAGGTATCGAGTATGTTCTACTACCCTACAAATTACTGGAATATTTATGAACGTGTTTGTCTATGTATTATCGTCTATTTGATTGGACTAGAAATTGTGATAGATAAACACACCACATGTACGAATATAAGAGTTATAAATCATATGACTATCTGTATCATTTTGTTTTTCAATCTTTCACTGTTGCTTTGCCTGAAATCTATTTTTAACAAGCTGTTGGATGATGTTGAAAAATAACCATCAACAAAAGTCAGTAGACATACCGATAAACCAGGAGCCAAAAACGTTTGAACAACACAGGCGTGAAATGCTGACCGGATTACAGCATAGACATAAAGGAAGAAAACGACCTAAGCTTGCAAATACTTCACACACTGATACCTGGTCGGATGTGATAGATAATTGGGTTGATTCATCTTGGCGCAGTTGGGATGATGAGATGCACAGACTAAGGCGTGGGATGTTCGCGCTTTTGGTAAGTATCATAGTTTACCCAAATTTCATAGCGATTAAAATTGTTTGAAAATGATGAGTCTGAATATAGGCTTTAATTCACATGACTTTTTCTTGCTAGCTTTATACGAGTCAGGTATCAATAAATAAGAGTGAATATTTAACTTTCAATATTCAGACTTATCTCATAATCTAACTTAGGTGTCAGGAGTTGTGGGCTAATTGGTCAGATATTGTGAGCGATGCAGTATGATAAAAGTCTGACTCAACTATGCATTTTTTTATTTTAGCCTCTTGATATTTTTGGTCTGAGATCATCTTATCCAGACCCCTTTGATCTAATGAACCAAATGGAAGGTGAGATCGAGGAGATTCGGAATCGCGTAGGCATGAGTAGAGTTCCAGGAATTGGTGCCCTTGATGACTTCTTGAAGGATGCTTATGAGGTTGGTGAAGACGGGAAGGTGAGTGATAAGTGTTACATGTGTTGCATCTTAGGCTACAATGTGCCTATAATTTCTTTGTAATTGTAATTGAGGTTTTTATTAAATTCCTTCTCTATTTAATAGCTTTACTTCAAGGTACATTTCGACACGAAGGGTTTTACCCCCGACGATATCAAGGTTGACTCCACAGAACATCGTTTAACAGTTCATGCGAAGAAGGTTTTAGAATCTGATTCATCAAAATCTTGTCGTGAGTTTTGTCGGATGATAGAGCTTCCTCAAACAATCGAACATAACCAATTGAAGTGTCGTCTGACAGAAGTAAGTATTAATAATAATGTACTTATTTATATCCATATCAATCTCTTGTGTTGCTATCCTGATAACTTATTGAACGGGGACCTTGGATAATAGTGAATAACCTTGGAATCGTTTTTTCCTCCTTATCAGCTAATAAGCAAATAGACCATCTAAATCAAAAATTTGTCGCTAGAGAAGTAATGAAGCATGTATTATCTCAGGACAGACTATCTTCTCTTTAGGGCTCACTCATTTATACGAACATCGATTTACATCTAAATCCTTTTTAAGGTTGTAAATACGAGTTAAAAACAATATCTGGTGGTTTTCACATTGTCATATGGTTCCCCAAAATGACGTTGAGATACCATGACCTGAGAAACATAAATGAAAATCCTCATCTTTTCAAGGATAAAGGTAACAAAATTGTGATCATTGTTCGATGAATCAGTAATGACAAAGGGAAAAATGGACTTTTTGAATTGTTCCGAGTAAATTCCCCATCAGAGGAGTAAGTTTTTCGTATCATTTTCACTTGGTCCGATAGACATTTTCCATCTGGCCTAAGCGATGTAAGTACTAACTAAAGATGCTCTCTGCAAAGTCCTTCATAAGGTGTATACTTACTGACTTTGGTTTCTGAATTTTACTCGAAAAATAAAAGACTACGTGACATTGGTTGCCTCGTCACTATAGTGATGGTCCACCAAAATATGTTACGTTCTATGTACTAAACAAATCAATATGCTAAGTGACGATATTTACTTTGTTTTCTGTAGGATGGCGTTCTTATGTTAGAGGCTCCTGTGAAAGCCCCCGACTATGAGTCAATCACATTCACGGATAATCGTCGACTTGGGATTCATCCAAAGTCAGCAGACCAGATCCAGTCAGTCCCAGCATCAAAGGCACTTGTTGTGAAAGGTTGGTAAATCGACTGACTAACGTTGGAAAGATTTTTGGTATGGTTGTGAGATTTAAGTCTGTTAGTGGCAGTCGCTCTTTTTATTGGCCGGAAATATGAAATATGGTATTGATTTTGGATGGTTACTTAAGTGTTTCTATCTTCATGTTTTTTCAGGTGTATCTGGTCCAACAATTTTAGACGATGAAGTAAATGGAAAGCGTCTTCATTTAGAAGTGCCTGTGGATCCAGTGTATAAACCCGAGGATTTATGCGTAAACGTAGATTCCAAACGTGTTGTCGTGTCAGGAATAAGTTATCAGAAAGACAGTAATCATTTCAACAAGAAAAAGAGCAGCTCGTATGCAGAGTTCACTCATTCGTACGAAATTCCAGAAACAGTAGATCCGTTATTAGTGACAGCTCAACTAATTGACAATAGATTGGTTTTGGAGGCTCCTTTGTTAAAACGGCACACAGTCAGTCATTAATCTATTTGATATAAATATAATAACATTGTGTATCGGTTGATAAAGTCTTTTGTGTGAAGTATTTCGAACGAATTTCTTAACTACACTTGTATGTAACGTTTCTGAGTACACACAAATGTGTAAAATGTATTTGGTAATAAATCTAATATACTCTAACTGCTTACATTAGTTTTGAAAGTTGTTGTGGGTTTTTTATGCGTAAAAAGAAACTAAATAGATATCATTTTTCGGGTGAACTAAAGCCATTGACATAGTCATTAAATTATAATATGGCTGTTTGTTGTTGAGCTTCTTTAGAAGACAATTTTAGTGTCTCGGTAGTAATTAATATATATCATATGAGAAAACATAGAATTAAAATACTCATTAATGCGCAAGCATCAATCACTAATTTCGCATCAATGATAATTGGTCATTAAATCTATAGTTAATTATCTTAATGGTGAATCAAACGGGAAATATTATCACGTTATCAAGATTACTGAACTTTTTAACCTTAATCCTATCCTATTATCTATATTTACATATAGTCATATTTCCCATGAAGTATATTGAGAAATACGAGATAGATATATGTTTTCTAATGAATTATAGTAAAGCAGACTGATATTTCTAGGTCAAATGAAAATATAACATATTAGTTTCTACTAGCAAGTAATGAAACATGGGACATAAATAATTAGTTCCAATCACCATTTATGACTAATAAATGGAAATGAAAAAACAGATTAACAAAATCTTAATATTTCAGTCGTCTGTAATATTTAATATTGGATAAATGAAGTAAAATTTTAATTCATTATATTTATTGATTTACGTTGAAATATCCCAGCAACCAATTAAATAACACACTATATTGTAATAAATATGAATAGCTGTACTAATAGATTTTCTACGTAATAGAAACCGATTAAAATCAATATAGTCAATTATGTAGTTCTTTTTCTCAGTCAATTATCAATTCAATATTACTTATTAAATCGATATAATCATGATAATAAGTTTTATGAATTTGATACAAAATAATAAATTAAATTGTCTAAAAGTATTAAAAAATAAGGGGGAACGATTTTTTTAAAAAATGAAATAATAAGCGGAAATAAACATGAAACAATAAAATTTCTAATAGAAAACTACTAAGAAGACATTTCAAAGATTCGAAAAATATATGTCAGTTCAATTAAAGTAGAAAAATCTAACATAAAAATACCAATATACTAGCTAGATATTATTATTATCACAGGGTTGTGAAGATTAATGGGTTTTTGATGAGATCATGAATCGATTAATTTTGGACCACCATTGAGGACCTGGAAGCATTGAACGGCCGTTTCGTCCTAGTATAGGACTTCTCAGCAGTACGCATCCGCGATCTCGCGCACTGGACTCAAACCTAGGACCGTCAGTTTCGTGCCAACTCCTAACCTCCAGACCACTGAGCCGGCATTTCACGGTATTAATGTCTTACTTCGGCCAATCTACGATACTGCATGACCATCTCTTATTGTCTTCGATAGGTAACTGTCTCAAACACGACACAGCTGAACTCCACTGGAACTCCGAGAATGACCTTTTGAAATTAGTCATCGGTAGCCACATTATAATTATCCGTATGGCGTTGAGGAGATTGTTGTGTTTTTACTGAGACTATGAACTAATCATTATTAGGTCACTACTGAAAACCTGGAAGCATTGAACGGCCGTTTCGTCCTAGAATTTCTCATACTACAATGAAAACTCTTAAAACTTATTATGAAAGAATATGGAAGTTTATTCACAGTGAAAATTTGCAAGGAAGGTTAAATCCTCAAAAAATGTAAGTGACAACTTTTTCAAGGATTCAGCCATTGAACTATTTGATCACTTCTAAATAGTTAAATTCATTAATATTTCACTAAACCAAAAAACAATTAGCGTAAAAGAATAACATGAATCAAAGTATTTCATGAATTCTCTTTGGATGATTACAGAAAAGTATGACATACTTTATTTCATACTTACACTTTGATCAAGATTGAGGTGAACTTATAGGTAGATTAGGAAAAAAAGCGCAATAAATGTGGAGAAATTATATGAATCGTTGATACAACTAATTATTCATAAGTTAACTATATAAGAAAACAATAGAAACTGATAGATGAGAGAAATTAAATGAAATTCCATTATTGTTTCTAAATATCTTTAAAAAATTTATGTGAACTACTTTTGATAAAAACAAAATCATTTACTTGAGCTTTAAACCAGTATATATAGTTGTTTGATAAATATATGAGTTTATATAAATGGATAGAAAAGATTGAATCATAAAGTGATCTGAAATTGAGAATATCTAAAGAAGGTTGAGTAATGATCAAGGGGTTAGTGAAGAATAGGAGGATGAGAACAAATATATGTATAAGGATATACAACTTAACTAAATGATTTCATCCAAAAGAATATTTTCTTCACTGAATTCTCTTTTCTTGTATTCAATATAAGAAAAGATTCATGAGTAATTATAGAATAAACTAACTGGATTTGATAAACACAATATTCTTCTACATCAATGGAAACTAAGGTTTTCGAAACAACAACCAAGTTTAATGAACTAATAAATTTTAAAATGGCACCGACCAATTTACTTATGTTATTCTAGTATAAGAAGATTCATAATAAAGGAGTAAACTTATGAAGTCTCCACATTTTCAGTCATTTTAATACATATTGATCGATATAGATTTGTATGTTAAAGTCTTCCAAGACTCGTGAATGACCTTGAGAGTGCAAAACTCATTTTCGGTTAATCTGAATGCAGTTTGTGTGAATGGATAATTTAATACAACAATCCATAAGAGATTAGAAATTTTGGTTAGGAATTGGAGTTGGGCTGGAAAATTGACTTGGGAGTTTCAGTTATGCTTAGCAATCAGTCTGACTTTTAGAATACAGGTGCAATATAGGCCTTTAGAGTAATGATAAAACATTGATTCAGGAAATATTTTGTAGTCCAATATGGATGAATAGTGATAAAGATATTTCTTTGATTTTAAACATCCAGAACCTTAAAGTTATCTGGATAACCGATTTAGTGCAAAATCCCAATACCTGGTATCTTAAGTGTGATTGACTCGTTAGTGTAGTATACTTTTACCAACTAGGACTTTTACAAGTAAAGTGAGAGATCATTATGTAAAATGGTCATATATGTCATGTAAGATTCAGCGCATCCAAAATAGCTTTTATAAATAGATATGTACAGACTACCTAGCTGGGATCAGTGAAATAATTATCATTAATGTTTACAGACTTTGCGCCATAATCGTTCAAGTGTATTCATTGACTTCCCTTAGATCCTAAACCTCGAGATTATCTTACAATATTTTTTATTCAACAAATCCACGTTTTCTTGTCGAATTATGCCTGTTATGCCTCATATTTTTTACTAGCACTACTGCTGTTATTATTTATACTACTCAAGTACTTTGCTGTGCTGATGTGGCTTGGCCACTTGAACTGATACACACATGTGTCACATTCTACTTTGCGTATGGCTGATTGATAAGATGATTCGTGATACTTTATAACGAAGCAGAGTGCCCCGACAAAAATTAGATTGTCTAATAAATTAATTTAGCAACATAAACCAGTCTAAACTTCAAGGCTTGTTTAGACAGATACCAGCTCTTTGATTCAATAATGTTGTAATCTCTTCATAATTTTTGTGATATGGGTTTGATTCCTTATATGTTCATGTTTATATACTGACAGAAAGTACCAACTCAGATGAAATGATTGTTCAATGAGTTCTATTTCCAATAGTTCTCCAGTTAGTAGCAGTTGGTAATGTTAGTACCATGTTTAACATACAAAGTGTAAACAAATTCATTTGAGTAAGCTCTTGTTTATTTCAATATCAATATGCTCTTCACTTACGAATTTCAATATCAATGTGATTTCTTGCTATATGATTATAGATAATCATGTTCATTCTTGCATGAATTTTCTAAAACCAGCACATGAATGAACTGATCTTAACATCTGTAAATGGTAATAATCTATATTTTTGTGTATTTCATCTAAGATTTTATATCACACAGTGAGTTTAATTGACTACTTAGCTATGTATGAATAAAATACAGATTTGTAAATGTGATTTATATATTATATTAAAGAAGAGATTTCTCATCTTATTAAAGGACTCTTTATTAAATATATATTTCTGATGTAATCAGTCATACAATCCTAATACTATCAGTCTGAATACTGCATATATAAGCTTGAATAGATATGTTACCAAGCTATTTGTAGGAAGCAATTTCCTACAGGTGTAACTCTAAGCTATTCTCTAGACCGTCGAACACAGAGTAAGCCAGTTCGATGTGAACGGCTTTAACAGATAAGCAGGTAAATAAAGAGCCGTAAAGTTTCTCAACAACTCTACCTCATTTGACATAGAATGGTCCTAAGTAATCCACACCTACTTGACTAAAGGGTGGCGAATGAGTCTCTACTCGGTATTCCGGCAACGGAGCCATTATTTGGGAACATGACATAGAATAAAGCCTTCTACATAAGTAGCATCGTTTTAGAACCTTCCGAACAGTAGAGTATCCTCTAACAATCCAATACTCTTCACGAATACCACTCAAAGTTTGAGTAACTCCAACGTGTGCGTTAATCAAATGATGCATTATAATCATATCTGTAACAAAGTGATTATTAGGAAAAATAACCGAATGTTTGGTTTAAAAGGGTAAACATGATAATTGCAAACGTCCTCCCACGCGGATCTTGCCTTCTAATATAAAGGGGTTGAGGTTTCTTATAGAGCTTTGACGAATTAAATTTTTTCTTCTGATCATCTCATTCATTGTTTCCTGGCCTTCTTGCTGTCTAGAAGCGTTATCTCCGAGCATTAATGGCGAACTGTTTAGAATTCTTTTTTCGACCGGGAACATGGCGCTTAATTATCTCACCCTTCGATTTATCGATATCCTGAACACTTATTTATTTGTTTACTTGAACACATAAATATTGTAACAAGGGGGCACCAATTATATATGCGCCACACAAAACAATGAGAATTTAAAGAGTAGGGAAAAAAAGAAAGGAGGGTAAGGAGCGTAAAAAAAGAACAATAACGAACAGATTAGTGTAATGTAGTGTAATAGTAGGAAGAAGCA